TGTGTGAGGTCACCTGTCGTAGGTGCAGGAGGTGGTCGATCGCACGGTGGTGTCAATTTTATCTTTGATGAGCCAAACAAGATCCGTGTCTGTAATCAGACGCACATTCTTCCTGTTCTTCTTAGCAAGGTAGCCACAGTCAGCATTGAAGTCACCAAGAAGCATCACATTCTGCTCACATGCACACAAACACAACAACACTCATGGTCACAAAATCTTACATGACTGAGCTTTGAAATTCTGTTATTTCAAAAGGATGCCAGTTGCCAGTGACCTTCAGCAGAACAAGCTTTTACCTCAGTTTTCCACATCTTTTTCACATGTTGTAAAACATCATACAGTGCATCAAGCTCCTTAGTGGTGTTGACTGGAGTGGTGTGCTGAGGTATGAGGACAAACTCCTTTATAGCTGAATATGTAAATAAGAGAGGCAGGATACAGGTGTTTATATTCAGAATCATCACCATGTGTTTTATTTTTGACATGAATAATGAGTGTTTGATAACTGACCTGTCTTGGGGGCTTTGAAACGGACAACAAAAGGTTCTCTGGAAAAAGCATCAACATCTCCTGGTCGATCATCGGGATACTGATACTGGCCAGTGAGACTCACTGTATCAGTCCTGCACACATCGGCATACAGACACAGTACAACWTCRACATTACAGGCTGTACTCAAACACTCTGATCGAGCAGCAAAGTAGCCAATCAATGATATCACCTGTAAACGAACACGTACTGCTCCTGGTATGAGTCAGATCTGCCCAGCCTCTCACTGGCTGCAGCATCGTACTTATGTTCAGTATCATAGCTGAGGATAGAAGAGACAATGGAGGCAACTGTTAATATTGCTCTTTCAGTTCTGTGTGTGTGTGTGTGTGTGTGTGTGTGTGTGTGTGTGTGTGTGTGTGTGTGTGCGTGTGTGTGAAAGCAAGTGATTATTCACCTGTTGAGGCGTGTAAGCAGCTTTGGTAAAGCTGTCTCTTTGCTGTCTCTCACTTCCTGAAGCAGACACACATCACAGCGAGCGATGATCTGGAACAGATATATAATAAAGGTATAAACTCTGAAAAAGTTTCATGCCAGTTTTTGTGTTTATAGCTCACGAATCACAGTGTACTATGAGTGCTGCAGTGTARTAAGTGAGATTCCTGCTACATTTCAACTGCCTTGTCTTGCTATAAATACTGAAGTCCTCAGCTGATATCATGATGTCACACGGTGACGTGTCATTTGTTTCCTTGATGAATTTGTAAAACGATTATTCATACTGAGGGCCTGTGAGCCTGAGCTGATATCACAAGTTYTCACTGTTCACCAGATTCCTATCATCTTAGTAACTGAAGTGATAGCTGCACACTCTTTCTCCTGGCTGAGCCAGATATTTTGTTTCACAGCAACAATGAAAGTATATGCTCTCATATACTCAATGTAATTTATTTCTCAGTGTCTCTTATACACAAATTAGTTACCCCCTCATTCACTAACTATTGTTCTCTTACTAATGTTTTTTCCCTGATTTCAGTATCCAGACAGTAATTTACTGATACACTGCACATATCGAATAATTACACAGTAATTTGAGGGCTTTAATATTAAAAATAAAAATAAAAAAGAATACAATAATTTACCTATAATGCTCAAGACAGAGATAAGAAATACAAATATCAGTATTTCAGGTAAATCCATCTGACTTAGTCCTACCCTGGTAAGAGTGTGCATGACAGTGCTCTTCTTGGACTTGGAATCCCCAAAGTGATGGAGGTTGAAGGCACAGACTCTAAAGTCMGAACCCCCCCGAACAATCGTCACACCAGAGAGGAAGGAGAGCAGGACAAGAGAAGACCACCTCATGGTRCAGAGTTGTAAGAGACTGTAACATTTGAGAACAATGACAAAGGCACAGTTACATTTTATTATTATTCATTTTAGATTTCTTTGCTGTAAATTGTCTGTCTGTATTTCTGCTTGTTCTTCTGTAATTGTTTATTGATCTATCTAATTCATTGTACAGTGGGCTTGTCTTCTAGTGGGGTAGGGATCTTCCCTGCTGAGTTTTTTTTTTTAATTAGCTGGGGTTGAGTATTTTATCTTTTGTGCGTATGTATTATTGAAAGTGCTCAATTGGTTAATTGTTTTAGRTGATAAATGGCTGATTCTACAGTAACAAAAATCCATTCTTAGCAATTATATGCGAATGATAACATCATTGTAAATATGTCCTATAATTTCTCCTAAATGCTACAAACTGGACCTTTAAAGCARACAAAAACATGATTATATTCACTACAATTTTTTGGTATTAATTGCAATATTTATTTGTTTGATATTCAATGTTGGGACTGGTTTCTCCCAGTTAAAGAGGGAGTTTTTCAGCTCCACAGTCGCCAAAG